CCCCCCCCCAAAAAAAAAAGTACTCAGAGAAAAAAAATACTATTGGAAATTAAAAAAAAAAATTTTTGGAGAGGTTTTTGCTAGAGGGTGCGTGCACTCTCCAGACAGAGACAGAGAGACAGAAAGTGAGAAATCACCCCACCAGGGGGATGGCTACACCGCAATCTCTTCTCCTCCATTCTCCTCTCAGGATCTTGGGAACGCATGCACATGCGCCCGGCGTGAGTTTAAGCCACCGGGTCTGGGACTTGAACCATGGTGGACTACATGGGAGTCCATTGACATAGCCATTACGCTAACTGCTGGTCCTGGAAATTAAAATTTTGATAGCAAAATGAAAAAGTCAATAGAAGGGTTAAAAATAATGCAGAGAAAAGACAAATAGAGGGTCAACATATAGGAATTGAAGATAGGTAGATCAGAAAAAAATGACAGGATAAAATCTAAGAAATAAGACAAGGACATTTTCCAAACTAAAAGATAGGTTTCCAAATTCAAAGAGCATGTGGAGATCTTAGCATAATGAAATCTAAAGACCGAAATCACAGTGTGTCCTCAAGGCTTTCCGAGGAAGGTAATAAACTTATAAATGAAAGCATATTCAAGAGGCTGAGGCAGGATTATCATGAATTCTAGGTCAGTTTGGATGACATAGTAAGACCTTGTCTCAAAAAACAAAACAAACAACAAAGATAATAGATTTATATCATCATATTTCTCAAATGCAAAATGAGAAGCTAAACATGTGGCACCTTCAAGATCCTAAGTGAAAATTATTTGAAGCCTATAGTTCTATACCCAGCTTAACTATCAACAAATGTGAATGTAGATTTAAGGTATTTTCTAGAAACATGCAAAGCATCACAAAATTTTCTTCTCAGGACCAGCAGATGGTGTAATGGCTATGTCGCTGGACTCCCATGTAGTTGACCACGATTCGAGTCCAGGACCTGGTGGCTTAAACTCATGCCGGGTGCCTGTGCATGCATGCCCAAGATCCTGAGAGGAGTATGGAGTAGAAGGGATTGAGGCGTGGCCATCCCCCCGGGGGATGATTTCTCACTTTCTGTCTCTCTGTCTCTCTGTCTTTCTGGCGAACGCATGTGCTTTGTAGCAAAAACCTCTCCAAAAAATATTTTTTTTCTTTCAGGAAGCTACTAAAATGTGTGTTTTACCAAAATTAAGTAGACAGAGAGATGACACCATGGAATCCAGAAAATTTTTTTATTTTTATTTTTATTTTTAAAATTACACTCACCAGAGAGAGAGAAGGAAAATACCCTTCAGGTGAATAGTCATGTCACAATGTTGTCTCCATTTTTTTCCTCCTGACAGGATTTTGGGCATGCATGTGGGCTGGGTGTGTTTTTCAGGCCACTAGGTCTGGGACTTGAACTGCGTGGTTGGCTTTGTGGGATCCAGCCACCTTAAACACCAGACCACAGGCTGGTCCAAACCTTTCTTCTAAGTGAGATTGGAGACAATGAACGGGCTGAATTTTCAGAGAAATGTTTGCAGCCTCCTTTTAAGAGTTTCTTAAATAATCTCCTATTAGAAGGTCCTGTCTTCTCCCGGAGGATAGGTTGGTTTATTGACTTGACAACTTTGCAGTGGCTTAGAGACTGGGTTGGTTGGGAGTTTGTTTGCTTTCACTGTCTTGGTTCTGAGCATGGGTGTAGATTCTAGTTGAGACCTGACCTTCTCACCTCACCTTGAGGTCCTGGATGGGGCATACCAGAGGTTAGAGGTAGAGTGTTTGTTTGTTTTTGTGATAGGGCACCTGCACTTGCAGGAAAGACAGAAAGCCAGAGATCACCCCCCGGGAGGATGGCCATGCTGCAAATCCCTTTCTTCCATTCTCCTCTTGGGATTGTGGGCAAGCAGGCACACACGCTTGGTGTGAGTTTCAAGCCTCCAGGTCTGGGACTCGAAGCATGGTTGACTGTGTGGGTTCCAGTCTGCTGACCCCTGAGGTGGTGGACCATGCACTGCATCACCGCCAGGTTTGCTGCCTGTCTACCGTGGGCTGGCACATGCTGGGTGGCGTGTGCGTTTGTGTACAGCCCTCAGGCTTGTGGCCTGGCAGTCAGGGAGGACTGACTGGTAGGGGAGTATCCACTGGAGGAGCCGGAGGGTACCCCTAGGAGTAGAGTGTTTGTTTGTTTTTGTGATAGGGCACCTGCACTTGCAGGAAAGACAGAAAGCCAGAGATCACCCCCCGGGAGGATGGCCATGCTGCAAATCCCTTTCTTCCATTCTCCTCTTGGGATTGTGGGCAAGCAGGCACACACGCTCGGTGTGAGTTTCAAGCCTCCAGGTCTGGGACTCGAAGCATGGTTGACTGTGTGGGTTCCAGTCTGCTGACCCCTGAGGTGGTGGACCATGCACTGCATCACCGCCAGGTTTGCTGCCTGTCTACCGTGGGCTGGCACATGCTGGGTGGCGTGTGCGTTTGTGTACAGCCCTCAGGCTTGTGGCCTGGCAGTCAGGGAGGACTGACTGGTAGGGGAGTATCCACTGGAGGAGCAGGAGGCTACCCCTAGCAGTCTCACAGAGGCACCATGGTTGCCGACTTGGCTGGGTTCGCACGCCCTGCTGCTGGGCACTCACCTGCAGCAGAGATGTTTGGTGTCACAGTGACTGGGCTCAGCAGCCCTGCGTCCTGTTCTAATTTAAGCCAATAGTTCTTAAGCACTCCTTGGCTGGCGCTGCTGACAATGGCATGCGTGGCGGGCTAGGTCCCTTATGTGCTTGTCCTCGGCTGAACGGGGTGCAGTCTTAGAGCTCTTTGGGAGAG